GTAAAACGTCCTCGTAGACTTTCCTTTAAGCCTTTTCCTTATTAAAATGGCATGCTCGCTCCCTGAACTGGTCTCACGTTGTCTCGCGAGGGAATAGACCTTATGCATATTGACGTCACAAGGCTTGATGCCCGCGAGGAATGCTGGTCTTAGTAGTCACCGCCCGGGAAACTTTCGATAGTGGCGATTTTGAATTGTTTAATTTTCCCGGGTGATGACTACTAAGACCAGCATTCCTCGCGGGCATCAAGCATTGTGACGTCATTATGCATAAGGTCTATTGCGAGGCCAACTTCGTTCTCAGGGCTTAGGCAGCCGTGATGCCCTGGGAACGAGGTTGATTGCGAGACATAAACACGCCGGTCTAGATTTGACTTCAAGAAAAAGATAGGCAGTGTATCCGAAGGTAGCATTCCAGTTACATTTATTTCACTGGGGTAAACCTATCAACTCACTCAATCAGTAGAAATGTAGTTTCAGTAGCTGGAAGTGTAGTAGTAAAGTAATTGATCTCATCACGATAGGTATTTTGCTGCAGTCAACGCCGACGTCGTCGTGAATTTGATTCCATGTTTCCTAGCGTGCCCACCACTGTTAACATTGCTTGTGGAAGGACACCTGAGTACTCGGAGAAAACCCACGACTTTTGCTTACAAAATGTCTTAATTATAGTCCGGAATGAAAATTTAATTCACGACTTCAGAGGTTAAATTAAAGGAGCTTGTTGGGACGATTGCACCACCAAAGCCCAATCAATCATCGAAATAAACTGTAATTGTAAATAACTTTGGTTTCCTCCTTTTTAGATTGCAGTAACGTTTGTCCTTACGCAGTGATTCCATGGCTAGTTTGTGGAACAGATGGAGTAACGTACGCTAGCCCGTGCTATTTGATGCGTGCTGCTTGCCAGTCAGTATCCGGCAAAGACAAAGGCAAAAGCATTACAATACGACGCTTTGGCTCCTGCAGTGAGAGTCCTAGCAAGGGCCTCAAGTTCGGTAGGTGCATAGACTTGCTCCAAGTCTCTCTTTCATTATCATATCGATCCACTATAGTGTACATTACATGACGTGGCATGGAGAAGCGGAGCGAGAGAGACTTGTCAACTTCGGAAAATCTCGGTTCAAAACTGAACCGAAAATGCAAGATTTGCTTTAACTGTTTTCTGTCAGTGTTTATATGTATTGATCTAGCACAGTGTTAGTAACATGAGTTCCATTATAGTAAATAATACAGAAAGAAATCGAAGGAAAACAATTAAAGCAAGTCTTGCATTTTCGGTTCAGTTTTGATCCGAGATTTTCCGAAGTTGACAAGTCTCTCTTTCTCGCTCTGCGTCTCCGTGCTATGTCATGTAATGTACACTATAGTGGATCGATATGACAATGAAAGAGAGACTTGGAGCAAGTTTAGTAGGTGCACGGCGCTTGATTTGCAGGTCAATCAACTTTTGACGTCACGAGGCCCAAGGCCTCTAGCTCCTCCTCCTAGGAGGAGGAGCTAGAGGCCTTGCTCCACATCAACACAATATCCCAAAATAAAAACCTAAATCAGAAACAGAAGGTGTAGCCTTACTATTACACTATTTATATGTAAATTGAAATTTGGGCAGGGATGATATAGTGTCGGCATGATGAAAACATGATAATACATCGAAAACTGACGTAGGGGCAAGACCACTAGAAAAGTGATGGGGCAGGTGTGGTAGTGGTGGTTAAGGGGGACAAAAAACTTCACCGGCGGATTTGGAAAAGAAAACGAAAGAAAAAGTTCGTAAATTTGCAAAGAGGAGGCAAAGAAAAATGCATTAGTTTAAAATTCCGCACAAATCCACCACAAGTAGACAGCCGAAAAAATTCATGCAAGCTGAAAAGCGCCTTAGGCCCGTTTCATAGGCCGTACTTCACATGTGCCGAATACATTAAAGACAATAGATAATGAGCTGAAATGCCTCATTATCTATTGTTTTTAATGTATTCGGCACATGTGAAGTACGGCGTATGAAACGGGCCTTAGATCTAAGATATATTTCTGACTTCCGTTAATCGTTGAGGGGCAAAACATCTAGCCTGAGAATCAGGATTTGTACATCAACATTGAGACACTGTTTTGGTTCATATAGTTACGTTAAAAATCTTTTCAAGAAACAGGATATACATGGGGGTACTTCCTATTATTAATAAATAATTGTTTCCATTTTTTATTCAGGCCTATCTTGGACGGGTTGATCGTGGATGTCAACACGTTTTGAAGATGCATGCTGTTAATGCAAGTTTAGCTATATACTTAAAATCGAGCTTACAATATCACAGGACCTTTACCCAAACACAATCAAAATAATACGAAATGATTCTTTTATAACTTTTACGAATTGAATGTGCAATTTTAGCTTAATAAAAACGCCCATCTTGTACATTTCACCTTCCTGTAACTATTCTGTTAATTATATTTGCTGTGCTGGTGTAATGTACTCAGGTGAATAAGATGCTTGATGTTACTCTGGGTGTATATCCACACCGGGAAGGCTTGAGGCTAGAGCAGAGAGGCTAGAGCAGAGAGCAGAGAGGCTAGAGCAGAGAGCCAGAGCATTGGGCTAGTATTCCAAAGGTCGTAGGTTCGAATCCCATCGTGGCCAGGCATATTTTTCAAGCCTTCCCGGTGTGGATATAGACTCAGATCACTCAGAGTAACATCACACAAGCATATTCTGTTAATATTAATAAAATTTTGAAATACAAGATTTGCCGCGATTCATACTCAGAGATTGATTATAATCAAATATAAATGTATAAAAAGGCCATATTACGCGAGGCAATTTTTACCGCAACTTTCAACGCAGTTTATGACATAGAGCCAAGTGAGCCATGTTGTTTGAAACAGCTAGTCGCAGAGAAATTGTGAGGATGACCCATGGTTTATAGCCTGCGCCGCAGACACGGCGTTGGCGTAACATGACCTCAAGACGTAGTAAGTGCAGGGCCGGAGATACGGGTGGGTGGGGGGGGGGGTGACACCCAGGGGCGTAGGAAACTTCGAAAAGTTGGGGGCTCAGGCTTTGAGGGGCACTTTTCGAAAAAAAAGGGCATCTAAAAATTTTTTTTGGCGACCGCTCCCCCCCGTCGCCAAAAAAATTTCAGTCAGTGTACCATTTTGGGGGTCAAAAAATTTTCCGGACATACCAAAAAAAAATTTTCCGGATATACCACATTTTTCCCTAAATACGAAAAAATTTTTCCGGACATACCAAAAAATTTTCCGGATAGATGATATTTTTCCCGGAAATTAAAACATTTTTCCGGAAGTAACATAGATCGAATTTTTCAAAAGTGCCCTTTGGGCAAAAAATGCAATTTTAATGAAAATTTTTCAAAAAAAGGGCACTTTGCTCCCGGAAAAAGGGCACTTGCCAAAACTTGGGGGGGGGGCTGGTCCCCCCGATTCCTACGCCCCTGGTGACACCCCCCAGAAATTTTATTCAGTCGGCAGGACTGCTATTCAGTCGGTAGGACTGCTATTTGGGTTAAATATTCCCTAAAAAGTTGTCGACGGGGGGGAGGGGGAGTTTGTTGGTCTCCGAAAAACATTTTCTCGCCCGGGCTCCCGTCAACATCTCGGCGGCCCTGTTCGTCAGTCGGTTGAAATGACCTTACACGCCCCCACCTGAAGAATTCCCTGAGGATGGCCCTGAGTAAGTGTCATAATGTCTACTGCGCATCCAAATGAGGCGTTCTGCGTCGAAATAAAATTGCAGACATTGCAGTTGAATCATAACATGGACGTAGCTGAATAAAAGCATTAAACAAATGAAATGATAGTCTTGCTGTAGCCTTATAACAAACATACTTGCAGGTTCGGTGAGTCCGGGATTGGACGCACCTCGGGTGGCTGGAAGCGGAAAAGCAGACGAGTTCGACGAAAGGCAGGTGAGCTCGACGACAATCTCACCTGCTGTATATAAACCAATCAGAAAGCCGCTTTTAACACAGGTTTGGGATAAGGACGTTAACAACAGTATAATGTGTATTGGTGTCAGTTTGTCAGAAATTTCTCAACAAAAGCAAAACAAAATTCATTTCGTTGAGATGTCTTTTTGAATATACAGTTGACATGCAGTTGTCTCATCTTGTCACTCTAAGCTAAAATATACTCCGAAAATTATAGCATATCTCGTAAATTCATGTTACGAGTTATTAAAGAACAAGACATGCAAAACGTAATGTTGTGTCTCTTCCTATAACTCATATATTGAGCTTCCAAGATGAATTTTCGGAGTATGTTTTCTGATATCTCGCTCTTTCGGAATTGTCTGCTGCCGTGCTGGAAAAGGATTTCGTCACTCTATATATAACCTTTGATTTTTTTGCCATGGCTAAATAAGTACATTGGGTTAAAAATGTTGGTAATGAATTAGTCATGTGTTGCCTTATTCAATTCATAAATGAGAAAGTATATGATTCAGTGAAAGAAGACTGTAATCTGCCCATCGTATTTTTCAGTATTCGACCAGTCTCGTCCAGTGCTACCGGTCTCAAATGAATTTTGTTTCCTGGCTCGCAACTAGATATGATATAAATCACTTTTCACAACACAAAATTTTTTTGTACGACCTCAGTTGGCAGAGCATTGGACTATAGTATCCCAAAGGTCGCGGGTTCGATTCCCACCGCGGTCAGGCTAATTTTTCAGCCTGCCCGGTGTGGATATACACTAAGAATAATATCAAAAACATTATATTTACCCGAGTACATAACATCAAAAAAACACACACAAAAATCTTTTTCACCACGTAAAAAATAATCAACCATGTTTGACTTCAAGATCCAGTTTCATTTTCAGTTCAGTGGCTCGTGCTCGCAAAATCCTGCGAATTTGATGACGTAATAATACTTTAATTAAGTAACCAGAATTCCTCACGCGCGCGGCTATAAAAGCGGAGAGTTAATTAAATCCGTCATAATTGCAACTGTCGCTGCACAGTACATTGCGCATAAGAAAGAGACATGGAAAATTCAATTTCAAAAATACCAAATGATCTTCCTGCTGCACGAAAGCAGTATCAAGAATTGTTAGAATATGAGCGAAAGTTAAATAAACTTTTCAGAATGCTGGATAGATTTTTAAAGGAGGGTAAACGAGGAGACTTAACGGATGAATATTTAGAAGATCAAAGGAAAAGGGCCGACAAGACAAGAAGAAATATGCTAGCTGATAGGAACGCTTTGGAAGAAAAGTTCAAAGAACTTCAACAGGATACAATACTACAAAGTAAGATGGCATAAAATAATTATGGCACATACATATTACAAAATAGACTGGGGGATTGTAAAAACGTACAAATAGTTGATATTCAACGAGTAGTATTTATCGCGTACAAGCGACATCGTAAACATCGAAAGAACGTAAACACACCATTTAATTCTGCTGTATAATTGGACAATGCGAATATGGAAATTGTTGTGTACAAGTAATTGTTATGTATAAAGGAATATGATTGGTGCAGTTTTTCCTATCCGGACTGTTCTCAAACTCAAGCAGATAACTAAGAAATTGGATCAACCTCTATGGATTTGACCGTGCAACAGCAACTAAAGTTGAGAAAATGTGTTTAGAATCTCCATTTTCCAATCTATTACTATCGTGAAATACGAATTAGAAAACTTAAACCGTATCTTCACTGTCCACTCAGTAGAAAAGCGTTGATTGAATCAAAACACATTCGCGATAGCTAATGAACACAAACCTGTTCTTTCGTAGCAACACTGAATTTTTCAACTCCGAAGCTTTTCATTCTTACGCTATCCAGCTGATACCATGTATTTGAAAAACGCATATACTGTTTTTACTGAAAAACTATATATTTTTTCGTTTGTTTCTTGCCAGTTTTCATATTTGTGTTTTCTTTCAACGTTCCAAATTTTGTTAGGCTCATTTCGATTACACAACGGCACACACCGTCACTGATCTCAAGTTAATTCTCAACATTGTATGTAAGTTTGGTGAATTTAATTTTACCTCGCTTTTCCATGCCCTTCCAGCTATATGTCCGTTTTGAAGATCTCGCGCAGTTTTTCCCCATCCACCCGTAAATAACATGTACCTATTTAAATTGCAAAGGTCCTAGAAGATTAGTTATAACCAAACTGGTATATTTCGTAAATACCTTAATCTTCTCAATTAGTGATGAAGTTTTCAGAGTTGATTTTAAAGGCTGTTTATTGCTTTACGTTACATAGGTGAAAGGAATAAGAATGTTGACTTTAAAAAAAATCCACTGAAGTTGATTCCCAAGCAGTCTCCAGTACAGAAAATCCCAACGGCAAAAACCACCTCATTCCCAGTGGTATCATTCCTCAAAGTTAAACTTGTTCAAATTGCTCCAATGCGGGAAATACTACGAATCGAGAATGTTTCATTATTGGAAACACAAGAACTGCAGCCATTTAAGCCGACAGTAAAAAGAGTTCTTAGTTGTGGAATCCACGAATGTATTCAGACTACGAGTCGTGGAAATGAAGGGAAGTATTCCTTACATGTGTCGAGCGAGACCGGGGCTCCACGTGTAAGTCTGAATCTCTCTCTTTCCACGGCAAGAAGTCTGAATCTTCCTTATTCTTTCACAACTACTCGCCAACGAATGATGTTAACATCAACAGCATCAAATATACAGCAATCACGTGCACTAGAAGAGCTGATACCTTTAGAGCGAAGACCTGGGACTCACTGGTGGTGAAACAACCATCCGCAACAAGATGGACACTGCCACCTTCATCAAAACCATTATCAAACTGTTTGTTAATAAACATGCCACAACCATCATCTCTGCTTTCTGCATTCTTGTCACTGCAACAATTGATGCGTCGTCTGGATTTTCCTTGTGCTTTCACAACTACTCGCCAACGAATGATGTTAACATCAACAGCATCGTCGATGCAAAAACCACATGCATTAGAAGAGCTAATGCCCTTAGAGCGAGGACCTGGGACTCTAATGGTGGTGATTAAATCATCCGCAGCGAGATGGAACTCACTGTCAGTCAGTGTACGTACACTGCCACCCTCACGGAAACCACCACTGTTTCCTGCATTTTTACCAGAGGATGCTTCAAACTGTTTGTTGATAAGTATGCCACTACATACATCTTTGGTTTCTGCACTTTCGTCACTGCAACAACTGATGCGTCGAAAGTTGCCACCAATAGTGGATTTACCTCTAGTAAGAGCTCTACCACAATCATCACGTTTTCCTGCAGTATTCTCAACGTTATTACCAGAGGATAGTTCAAACGGTTTGTTGATAAGTATGCCACTACACACATCTTTGGTTTCTACACTTTCGTCACTGCAACAGCCGATGCGTCGAGAGTTGCCACCAATAATTGATTTACCTCTAGTTGTAAGAGCTCTACCACAATCATCACGTTTTCCTGCAGTACTCTCAACGTTATTACCAGAGAAAGTTCCAACAACTGCGATAAATTATGGTATCAAGATAAACAGGGTACGAAGAGAAAGATTGCCGCTGTCAATAGTGACTGTACCACCGCAACCAAGACCACGTGGTGCAGATGAAGATAGTTTGGCGATCTTAAATCATTCGGAAGAAGAAATTAGTCATGAGTTACCAGATTCAAGCCGCAGCGAGATAGTTGAAGTCACTGATGTTGATGAACCCTTGAAAATATCTGATGTTCAGGACACTACAGCTTTCAAATCAGGTATGTAGTATGCTTGACATTTACACAGAAACCTAGTTTATTTGAACAGGTCTAACCAGGAGTTGGGTTGATATAATGACGAAATCCTTGTTAGCCAAAACTATGCTTGCTGAAAATTCTAGCCAGGTGCTATTTGTATATCCAGTTAGTATAATCTGGTTATTTCAACCACGAGCGCCTGGTTAAATCCTGTCAAACCGTGCTTAGATTTGAAATATAACTTGATGCGAATGTAAACAGGGGTGGATCCAGCAAGGTTTTTCTAGGGGGGTGCTGGGTGAGCAGCCGAGTGTTTCTTTATAATTCTTTTTAGGGGGAGAGCATTCGAATGAATTGGCTTCCTAACAACTCGAGCGTCGAAGGCGCGAGCTCCCTAGGGGATTCAGGGTACCTGTCCCCTGGAAAATTTTGAAAATTAGAACCCTAGAAATGCCATTTCCTGCGATATGGGCATTGAATTGTGAGCTTCGGTTTGACTTCAAAAAGGAAAACCTTGGAAATTATGCCATATTTCTGAATTTGATTTTTTTGCACCCCTGTTGACTAAGGCCAACAGGGGTGTGCACCCCTGTGCACCACCCTATAAATCCACCCCTGAATGTAAATAGTTACCCACTTCGTTTCATGCGTTCGTACCCAAAAGACTGTAGAACTGTTAGGCTGGGATCAAACGAGGATGAGAGTGTGAGTTAGACAGTCACACGACCTTGGTCAGGTGCTCTTCCGTTCCCAACGTCATCACGTATTCTAGTAAAGTTAAAACATGGTTGGAACACTCGTCAAATCTTTATTTTGTTAATCTTGAAATATCCCCCGTGAGAATGCGTGACTGCCGCCAACTCTCATCAACTCCCATCCTCGTTTGAACGGGGCTTTAGTCACCCGCAAGAAGCAGGATGGATAACATACTTAGTCCTGGATTTGGAACAGTCCGGTCGGATGGATTGGTGTTGGCAATGTGTTGGTAACTCTTGGTGTTAGCGACGTTTATGAGTGACGTACCTCTTTTTAATACCAATCCGTTGGTATTTATGAAAAAGGTCAAGTATTGTCTAGTGGTCAAAACAAAATATTGAATTTGAATGACTTTACGATCGTTTTCAATTCTTTATCTTAGGTTGTAGTGAAAGAGAAAGCAACATGTCGGGGAACAAGAAAAGGATTAAAAAGCGATCGATTTGTAGACGAATTTTTACACTGTTCACTTGCTGCTTCCGTAAGCAAAGACAACGAAAGTGATGTTATGTAACGAGAAAACATAATAACTGTATAAACTATTGGGCAAGAAATGTCCAGCTGTGAATTAAACATTTATATAAAATAGGCATGCAGAACGTACTGCATGACAGTTAAATATTTATTATACCGTATATGTATATATTAATATTGTTGCATGTATTGAGCGACATGAATCAATTATATCTATTTATTAAAGAATTAGTTTGATATTAAGAAAGGTTAAATGTGTTTTTAACTAATGATTTAAAGCTTCAATACGTCACACTAGACTAATACCAAGGGAGGAAAGGCTTGACAGATAGTGATTCCTTGCAAATTTATAGATTTGTTCGGTTTCTCTTAGAAGGCTGGTACCAGGTTTTATCCCGCTCGCTTTTTCCATGGAAGTATTTTTTAATAAAAGTATAGCGACAGATAAGTATGGAATGTGGGAAATGTAATTTAAAAATGATCATCAAATGACTCTTAAACAAGACATTAAAGTGCCTATGAAACGAAATTTTGATGCATGGGACTGGGAGCCAACAAATGATGATGACGATGGTGATGATGAGGTTCCAGCAAATGAAGAGTCAAGAAATGTGATACGGTATATAACCAATTGAGTGTGTAGTTTGAGAATTCCTCATGGCCATATCAACATTTCCTTGGGTTTCACTACGGCATTTTGCAGTGAATCTGATTGGGGGTCAACCAAAAATGTATTGATGCTTATGCTGTACTGGAGTGAGCAAATGATACAAAATTGCATGTATTTGCCACCAAAGACAAGGTCAACACATACAGTGAAAAATTAATTCACTCTGATGACCGTGTCTCGATTTAGAGTAACGTTTACGAACGAATACCATTCAGTTGTCACACATGTCCTTTACCACTTCTGTGACATGAGTTTGATAACGGCTTGTGAAATATTCTGCAGTCTAAAGTTGCATCTTGACTGTACATGTACTTTCTTTGGAGACACCATTTGTCTCGATCCCAACAAATCGGAAAATGATCAAGATATTGACTCCGATTGATTTACATATTGTATTGACATATGACTGTTGACATTGCTTTTTAGTCTCCAATATCTGAGTGAGTCATGCTGTGGAAATGACATTAAACTTTTATTACCCAACCCTTGAGTTGTTTTATATTTCATTTACCCAACCTTTTACTCACTCAAAATTTCGTTTACCCAACCGTTTTCTCTTCGGTGCCACCCCCCACCATAAATAATGACCGGTCCCTTATTTACGAATTGAAAAAAAGCACAATTGAATATTAACAAGCTTTCGTTGGTAGTGATGCAACTACCTGAAAAATATAAGGAGAACTTCGACGTTTAGTAATTCACTCAAAGGGTGGAGGTTCAATCTGAGCTTCTCTCGAGTGTCAGTGCTGTTTTTGAATAGCTGGAGGGTTAGTTCCGTGCCTCAAGGCTATGTGACTACTCGCCTCTAGCCGTATTCAAAAACAGCACTGACACACAAGGGAAGCTCAGATTGAACCTCCACTCTTTGAGTGTGAGTGAGCTTTTAGAATGACACGCGATAGTCTATCATATATAGAATGATCTGGAAACTAAACAAAAGTCATTGTGTTATGTTTTTGCCTGAGGTTATGTTAATTTGCGTCGGTCACGGTGATTGAGCTGAGATGAAACGTGCAACCACGATGAATAGTATTTAATGAAGTTGAGACAAAGGATTTGTACACGGTGAGAACAATTAGACAATAAACAAAGGTCTTCTATCTTGTGACTTTGAAGTTTGCCAGGCTTCCAGATCATCATATCTTGACAGACTATAGTGAGATGCATGTAAAAAGTCAGCAATGACCAATGTTGATTCAATATTAAAGAGTTTTTTTTTGTATCCTTAGTCTATATATATGTGAGTATAGTAGACGGAACCAAATGCATGCGTGCATGTCCGATATGACGAACATCTGGGGCGGGGGAAATGACTCATTTTCACCACATTTTCTATACTGGTGTTTCTTTATTTTTTAATTTGCATTCATTCTATAATTAGTTAAGACACGACTATATAAAGAATCACTAAATATTAGTTTGTCAGTTATATACGACATTGACATTGTGACAGACAACAGGTAAAAAACGAACAGTGAAAGATAAATGTAGCTACGTATGGCAAACTATAACTTCTTTAAATGGAAAGTCAGGAAAAATTAATTTCGGATATTGGGAATAAAAATTTAGTTTGTCTCGTTTGAAAGGACTTTTACATGGAAATATTTCGACTGAAAACAGTGAGCTATCTGCCATCTTGGACTATTGAAGATATGCATGATGTTACCTCACAAGTGGAGTAATGCAAATATTTTATCTTGACAGGGAATCAACTGTCGAGCGAAGGCCCTTCGTTGGGAAGTTAGAAACGTCGACGTTTTACTTCTATTTTTCAGGTCGTTGAATCCGCAGCTTCTGGTCACTATACCGCTTGCACAGCGGACCGTTCGAGTGATCAATATGAGCCTGAAACTCGTTTTGGGTATTATTTCAAATTTAGAATCGAGTAAAAACATTTTAATTAAACAATTTTGAATTGTTACTCGGTCACTTAGAATTATAATATAAGGCTAACCCACTCCTGACATTATCAAAGCCATTATATATATTAACGAGGTTACGAATAATTCCACTGCGATGGCAGACAGCTCATTGCTTTCAGTTAAACTTGACGTAAAAAATCTGCAACAAGATTTTATATATGATTTAATTAAAAGTTCTTTCAATTAGCCGAACTAATTTTCTATATATTGGCAATGTTAATTAAGATATAAGTACATTTTGTTCACGAAATACACCATGCATGCAGTGGTTCGATGTGGCATCGATGCACCAGTGTTTCGTTGACATAAAGAATTAAAGAGCTCACAGTAATTTAGCTTGCCTCAACTAAGTTGTTACTGCAGCATGTTTCATTAAGATAATACTTATATAAAGGTTACAAAAGTTATGCTTTTTAAATTTTTAGCGTGAATTTCATAAAAATGAAGATCTTTGTATTGGTGTTGATGCTTTACTTCGTTTGTATTACGGTAAGCCACACAACAAATGTAATATTAATAAGGGAGAACCATTAGAAAAGTGATGGGGTCGGGGAGGAAAAAATACCTTCAAAATTCCAGCACAAGTAGACGGCCGAAAAAAGATTCGTACAAGCTGATCCCCCCCCCCCATCACTTTTCCAATGGTCGGCCCGAAATTAAAATGTGAATGTAAAATATACGACAGACGTAGTACTACAGTGCAGTGCAAAACAGCACGTTGGCGGCTTTAACAAGCTAAGTACATCACGTACAAGCGCGAAGACACATCATTTTTGAGTAAAGACCGAACGACTTATGGTTCCGAACGAACAAACTAACAGACCAACCAATGCAACTATTAAACAAGGAAACAGACTAACAAACTCACGCACCGAATATAAAGATTAAAGCGACGCCTAACTCACCGTTTGGGCACTGTAATTAAAGTAATATTCTGATCTTTTTAGAGTTCAGCCTCGGCATTTATTGGTAAATTATTTAAAAAGGCAAAAAAACCTGGTAAAGATCTGACAATATTACAAGTATAACAACCAAATTATGGAAAATTCTGATTGGCTAAGTGCAGCAACCAGACCTAACCATATGAATGAAATAATAATAGGATCAACCAGTGAAATTATTCAAATTAATATAACTGGAACGCTATCTCGAAACCAGGGGCGGATCTAGGGGTAGTCAGATTAGTCACGCGACTAACGTAAAAAAAAGGCATATAAAAAAGTTTGGACTAAGGTTTTTGAATTTTTTTCCCAGCGCAAAAGCTTCTCTTCATTTCTCATCATGCAATCAAAACTACATCACACTCCAGCATATAAACTTCGATCAGTTTTTGCACATTGAGCCAGCGATTGATTAGTCAAACGATAAGTCAAATAAGCGGTATTGAAATGAAAATTGACTATTCTGCATTTTAGTTCATGTGATTTGATTGGTCAAATTTGCTCAGATTACACATTACAGGCATGTTGATTGGTCAGACCTATTTTGACTAACGATTGCGCAATTTTGACTATTTTGACTAATCCTGCAAATAGATAGCAGCTTCTGATTGGACAATTTGCGCAAAAGAGTTAAAGAACATCTCCTCTGATTGGCCTTCTAATCTTCAATTTGGAAGCATTGTGCACTTGGTAGCTCTGTTGCAGCTCTGTACAATTTTACAAGCGAATTATTTCGCTTAATCTTAGTATATTTGTTGAACTATTTTCGAAATAAAGATTTCGAAAGGGTTATATCGTTATTTGTTACGATAAGGGATGCTCTCTGGTGTTCTGTGGAGAATATTCAAGCCGATAAATTCGATGGATGCAAGAAAATTGTCTTGGCCGAAACTATGATGTGTTGATTTCTCGTCGTCTAATATATTTTCAAGAGATTACTAAGAGGTGTATGGCAATAAGGTAAAGTGGTTTGAATTTTGAACAATAAATCGTTGAATTGAACGTACGATTTGCATAATTGTGCGAGGTTATAGGTCCAAAGTTTCATATACTGCATACATATTCATTTTATATATGTGTATAAAATTAAAACACCTCAAGTGGCAGAAACTTGACCTCAAAATTTATTTGATCATGTTGGATAAAAAATATTTATTGTGTACATGCTTTATAGAGTATTGATTGACTGATAATAGCTCTACAAATGTACTTTATGAAGATAATAATAATAATATAATCTTTGGTTATATTTTTAGATCTAAATCAACTGGCAATTGCCTGTATAGCACTGTTTCCTAAGCATTGACAGGTACCAATGACCTATAAATTTGACATTGATAGTTTAAATGTTTACAGTGCAAGTGTGAAAGGTCTATACAGTAGGTCACTTTTTATACAGTATAAGCGAAGAAGCACTATGGTTGAAGACTAATTAAATTAAATGACTTGGCTTGGTCATGATGCAAATTCACCAGGATATTATTCCTAACATACTGTAGGAAACTTTATTAATAAATTTTCTGGAACATGAGGTTAAAGTTAAATATATCGGCTTGCAAAAAGACCACTCTCGCCTCCAATAACAATAACCTCACTCTTGTACGCAACACTGACATGAGAAAAAACTTCCTTCGCCATCATCAACCAAACTTAGCCTTTCAAGATCACCACCTTAATTCCCATAATCTCCCCCTTCCCCAAACATCCAAGCTTTGTAGACAAAAGCTGATGCCAAATATCGGTCTGATCTCATTGAGATGGGTCCATTGCATCTTGAACCAGTTAAATTTTTCAACAGACCAGGGCTTGAAATAACAACTGATTACCAATCAATAATCAGCAAGAAATTGTGGAAAAGCAGGGTTTTCAACCTGAAAAGCAGGGAAAGTCATGACTGCCAATCACCATGATCAATCACCATGATCGGGAATTTTGGGAATGTTATTTCAGGCCCTGATAGACAAACACCATGTTGATAGTACGTGTCTATATACAGTATGTAAGCATAGTGTAAGAATAATAGAATACTGTGTTAAAAACCTTGCCAATTATTTCAGATAACTAGATAAGTAAAGTATTAATAGTCATTTGTAATGAATCTTTTGTATTTGAATCTACTGTGATTAAAATATGTTTAATTAAAATGCCAGGTAAAATAAACTTGTTTTCAATAAAAGTTGGCTTCCAATGAAGCTGCAGCTTTGAGGCACAATTTCACTTGTGATGTTATACATTTTCATAGTGGACAGTATATAACAAGATGATGAATTTAATTAGATTAGACATAGGTTAGTAATAGGGGGAATGGGGAAGGGGCTAAAGGGAAAAACTGGGCAATTTCACATATTGTCACCCATTTTTAACCAAGCTCCTTTTGCTATGGTGAAAGGTGTGAGGTGGGTTTATGGCACCTTAAAACCAGATTGTTCATTTTAGGTGGTTTTCATTGTCACCCATTTCTAAGTTATAACCAAACTCCTTTTGCTCTTGAAAAGGTGTGAAGGCAAGCAATCTAGTTTTAAGGTGCCAGAAACATGTGCTTGTGTTCAGCTTTTTCAAGTCCTTGTTGGATCATGGTTTACTATTTTTGGTAAATGTGTTTCCTAGGCATGCTGATGAACCAAGGTATTACACTGTAGGGCAAAATATATATGCTGAACATTGGCAGGTACGAAAACTATGTCATTTGCGCATTTGTAGTTTGATAAAATAAAATATCTATACTCCCACGAAAGTTGGACTATCATCGTGACATTGAATGACGTCATGGCAAATGACGTCATCACGTTTTGCGTCATCGATGACGTCATAGATTTTTGACTAACGTGCGAAAAATCCTAGATCCGCGAAAAATCCTAGATCCGCCCCTGTGTAGGTCAATATTGTTCTGAAAATCAATATGTTCAACTTTAAAGCAGTTTTTCTCAAATTGCCGAAAACCACCAATGGCCGTTATTGCATACGCAATATCTCAAAAAGTATTTAAGCTATTGCCTTCAAATTTTAAGTGTGGCTTCTGTATTGCATTCTCTATAGGAATGGACTAGAATCATAAAAATATATGCAATAGCATTAAAGTTGTGATAGTTAGTATCATGCCGATAATATGTATTTTCAATATTTTGTCCGCAAAAAATTTATTTTTGCTTCAATCACCATAGTTCTAGTTCATCCCCAAGAGTATGTGGTATACTATATTAAATAAAAGTTATTTTAGGTTTTTATCATTCATACTTCTTGAGATATCATGTTTACAAATATGTTGATTTTTCACCACCGGGGGGAATTAACATGGTAACCATGGCAACGGTAACTTTGAAAAACATTTTTTTATGTTAGTGGTACCATGCCCTAAAAACTGACCAAAGATGAACATCATAGCATTAAACAACAACAAAAAAGTTTTTGATCAAGCGATATTGCCGTTCTAGGCTAGCAACCGAAAAACCAGAAAAAATGGTGTGAAACTATAAAAAACAAAACGTTTACCGCTTACATATTAAGGCAGTACTAGAAAATACATGCATGCAGAAACCCTCGCCTTGCTGACAAAACCATTTTATTTTCCGAACGTGAAGTATTTTAAGTAGTTGTCATGGTAACACGATAATTTTTTAAGAATATTTTTACAAATGGAAAATCCCCTATAAATATCACTTCTAATTACAAAACATATATATGTTAGGTATGTTATTATACGTAATATAAGCTTGAATTTAAGGTAAAATTCAGCCACAAACGCTTCGCAAAACGGTTTAAAATGTTCTTTTACTCATAGAACTAAACTGCCTTTATCGATAAACTTTGAGTTCGAAATAAAATGATTCCAAGTTCTCCCATGCAAATAACTTTGCTTAGTATAATAAAAAGTGTAATCAATAAAGAAACACTGAAATAATACGCTGTCTTGTTTCATATTTATACACAACGATCGGCTTTTAAAGTAATTACAGCAGGTATGTTATTATACGTAATATAAGCTTCAATTTAAGGTAAAATTCAACCACAAACGCTTCGCAAAACGTTTGAAAGTGTTCTTTTAATATAGAACTAAACTGCCTTTATCGATAAACTTTGAGTTCGAAATAAAATGATTCCAAATTCTCCCATGTAAATAACTTTGCTTAGAATAATAAAAAGTGTAATCAATAAAGAAACACTGAAATAATACGCTGTCTTGTTTCATATTTTATATACGCAACGATCGGCTTTTAAAGTAATTACAGCCGAGATTACAGTATATTAAAAGCAAACAATGCATCAATATTTCAAACAAACTTACCTTTTAGCAATCCTCTTGCCTTTATTTCATCAAAAATCCTTTGCAATTTACAAAATCTTGCAAAAATGAAATATATTTGCAAGAAATCATCAAATCAATTTCGCTGTCGTCAATCGTCATGCAGCCGTTATAATGCCAATTTTAAACTGGACCAATCAGTGTTGGCTATTCATTACAGTCCGCTATATTATGAGATCAGTGAGGATGACCACCCACCGAAACACGCACAGTGACCCACGCCCGCGATATTTGATGAACTTTAGACTTCGCTAATGCTTCTCTTCCCCGGGTGTAAATAGCCGGGGGGAATTAGTACCCTCGCACGGCGCTTCGCGCCGTCGGCTCGGGGACAAAACAACTAAAGTCAAGAATTTCTCGATAAGTGGGTTGGACCAATAACCGATCTGCACTACCTGTGGAATGTCCTCCAAAGCAGGGAGTTTTATTTTGAGTAGGTTTGAATTCTTGTGTTTACCGAACGTGTAGCATGAAGTTTAATCTAACTGTAGTATGTTATAGTTATAGTAATAATAATAACAATAATAATAATAATAATAATAATAATAATAATGAAAACTTTATTAATAGAACATTTATAGATATATACAATTGTAAATCTCACTTCTTGAGGTAACCTACAATTGACTACTTGAATCACTTATACGTGCATGGTTATAATTTTATATACAAAAATTACTACTTATTTACAGAAATAGTTACTTTAAATGTTCATTAGTTCGGGATTTGTCCATTCTTTATTTTTACAGCAAAATATGTAGTACGTTGATCGGATGGCAATAGATATAATTTTTCTGATACAATATTGTTGGTGTTGATTATCCAGTCCTAACTCATTTAGCATTTTTACGAATGTATGACATTCTTTGTCAAACACTCCTAGCGAACTGACAGAAAGATTTATAAATTTGACAGATGTAAAGTTTTGATCCAGTTCTCTAATTAGGTTTTTATATTTTATAAATCAGGACGATATTCATCTCCCGTAATAATCGAGGGGCTTTCAAATCCAGGAAGATCAACATGTAATTTGCATTCGTTTAAACTTTGAAAAGTTTTTGCAAGAAAGTTTAGTATGCAATCGTGTCTCCAAGTAAATCGTTCCAGGTAATGTTGACAACCGGCAACAACGTGTAGAAGTGATTCAGGGTGTAAGCAGAACGAGCAGTCAGAACTTGATGAAATTCCCCATCTACTGAGGTTCTTTCGTGTAGGAAGGGTATTATTTATATAGCGAATTGTAAAGTTGAAAATGTTCTTTGGTAGCTTTGATTGCGATACCGACCAGATTGCGTTAAGTTGTGATAGCGAGAATTTAGAAACATTTTCGAAAAAGGAACCTTGACATTTCAAACGGTTCCTAAGTTTATTTTCTTGTTGAGAATGGAAAGTTTTTAAAACTTCTTTAGTTGAGTTGTAACTATCGTATTGAATGTTAGTATGATTATTAGTTGACTTCCACAGTTCGTTTATTGAATCGTTTGGAGATGTTTTCAGGGCATTGCGTAGAACTGTTTGACACAGAATGAATTTGACTGATGCAGGGAGGATATTTAGACCAAACTTATTACGGGTTAGAAAAACGTTACTTTGTGTTCCAGATATAGGTACTTCCAGCCATTTTCGGATGTACTTGTTCACCGAAGAATCGATATTTTCGACTAGCCAAGTTTTAGTAATAATAATGAAAACTTTATTAAATGGATATTTAGCTTATATATACAATTGCAAATCTCACTTATATCAGGTAATTTACAACTGGCTACTTAAATCACTGATTATATATGCAAAAAATTATACTATTAAGATAACAAAATGACAGTACAACGTTTAAACACTTAACAGTTCCGGATTCATCCATTAATAATAATCATAATAATAATAATAATAATCATAATCATAATCATAATCATAATCATAATCATAATAATAATAATAATAATAATAATAATAATAATAATAATAATAAATGTATTACTTATATAGCGCTATTTACAGCAATTGATCAAAAGCGCTTCACAGAGTTAAGAATAGATACAATATTTACATTATTGATTAGTTACATTGTTACTGATGAATTTATTAAATATTAACATTCTTAAAATTCAATATCCGTATCTTATAAAAAGTCAGTAAAAACGTTCCTAGAAAGATGAGTTTCTTGAACAAGTCAATAGATGTAAGTGAACGTATACCAAGTGGAAGACTATTCCAAAGATGAGGTGCAATCGCGTGAAAGGATCGAGCACCCAAGGTAGTAAGCATCTTAGCATCCTGCCTGCTGGAGGTTCCAGTAGAGTGCCGTTGTTAGATCTTAAGTTGAAGGACGACTTCGATTTAACATTAATGAGATCCTTAATATAAGATGGTGCTAGATCGTGTATAGCTTTAAAAGCAAATAGTAACACCTTGAATTGTATTCTTGCATGTGCCGGAAGCCAGTGTAGTTCATACAGTACGGGCGTAATATGAGAATATTTCGGAACGTCCATTACTAATCTTGCAGCGGCATTCTGAACACACTGTAGTTTAGATATTTGCTTTCCAGGGAGACCGTAAAATAAGCTATTACAGTAGTGGAGCCTGCTGGTGATGAAAGCATGTACTAGGATCAGTAAGTTGTCTCTTGATAGATATTTCTTAATTCGTCTGATATTATATGCAGGTGGAAAAAGCAGGCTTTACATACTTTTGTGATAGTCGTCATGTTGAAGTTCGAATCCAACCAGCTGCCAAGGTTCTTAATATGCGGGCTAGGAGAAATTACAGA